TTTTGCTCTTGGTAATCATTATCAGAGATCAAAAGCAAATGCTTACTGGGACTGAAGAACTGGTTAATTACAAGTACAGCCCACGCTAAAGCATGCCCTGCTTTGTGATCATTTCTAACCATTACAGGGATTTAATTTAAAATACTAATTATTTACAACAATTAGCATCATTTTAATCCAATTGAAATTTACTGGGTAAACTATTAGATCGAGGCCTTAAGTCATCAGGAACTTGCAGATTAAGGGAAGCAAAAATGAGGGTTTTTTTTTCTATCTAGAAGAGCCGCCCCCTGCTGGAGATTACAAAGAATGCAGGTTTAGGAAAGTTGAGCATTCACTTTCCAAACCTAGAATATCCATCAGTGGCTGTGAGCAAGAACTGTCACACAATTTAAACATGCATTTGAAACTTTATAGGATTCATATCTTATTTTTGAAAGACATTTCTGTACAAACGCTGTAAACACCTGCATTCTTCTTACTGCTCTGATGCTTCAGAGCAGTAAAATTGTAAAATTAGGCTTTTAAATTGCTTGAAAAACAGCTGTTTCAAACAGCTGTCCCTTTCAAAAATGTTGTGATAATATAGGGATAGGTATCACTCAGTCAACTGGATGATTTAGGCAGCCAAAACTTGACTGGAATCAACCTTAATAACCACTTTCAAACAGAACACTGAGGGATTCTCTCATAATCATGATCTCATGAATCTTGTAAGAATTGAGCCAAAAATATTGGTCAGTGTTGTCCAGCAGCTTTTATTTGGATTGGTGTAAACCTTGCTACGAACATTGATGGTCATCAGAGGATCAATCAAAGCAGTCCTCTAATGTAATTCCTGTCTACATGATGAAAGTCACATTGTTGATCTCTTAGAAACTGTTAGGTCCCACTTTTTGAGTCTAGTGCCATTTTCAGTTTCTCTCCCAGATGTCATTAGTTCTGCAGAGTGCTTAATATATTACAATACAGGAAACTTTAAACCATGTTTCAATGATTTATTTTGCCCCTCTGTCCTTGTCCCATTAAACAAAAAAAGAAAACATATTTACCAGTAACTGAACACAGCAAAAGAATAAGAGTCCCCACAGGGCTGCTAGCACAGGTGTAGGCTCTGATAACACTTTTTTTGTGGTCTCTAGCCGAGCGCTGCACCCAGACCCTGGATCCAGGGCCGTGTCGGGAATATGTGGTGAAGTGGTACTACGATCCCACGGCGAATTCCTGTGCTCAGTTCTGGTTTGGAGGCTGCTTAGGGAATGACAACAAGTTTGATACTGAGAAGAGCTGCAAAGAAGCCTGTGTCAAGGCCTGACATGCACATGCCTGCAGTCACACACACATATGAAATGCTTAGAAAGGATTTTGATTCAAATTCATATGAGGAGATTTACCAGAAAGTTCACTTCAGTAAGTGAGTACTCTTGTAGTTACTTAATAAGCAGCTAATGTTAGAAAGCATCATTAAATCAAACTGAGTTTTAAATGTAGTGGACTACTTATTTGTGGTATTTGTCTTAAAACAAAGAAAAAGAGGAAACAATTTTTATGTCACTTCAGAGCTCTTCTGTTAAAATACCAGTAACTTCTTTAAGAACAAGAAAATGTAACTCTTTTTTTATAATGCAATGTTTTTTAATGATACTTTTTATGTGTATGTTTATTTTTAATACCGTATAATGTCATTAAAAGAACAAAATAAAAGTGTACCTTTTAATCATGTGCATCCAAGGTAAGTGCTCTTATTGAATGGCTCTTAGTTTAAGGTTTGTGCTGAATAGACACGATTTTCCCCCTCTCCAAATACACACAAAAACAAAGAAATAATGCTTCACTGGTCTATTTTTAGATTAAATATTTAGTTTTAGATGTTAAACAAAGAGACTTAACTGCTGGGAAACCGGAACCTTTATTGAAAATCATCCCATTTTCATGGGATCAAACATAACTGACGACACAGGTGTGGGTATACTTCAGAAATTAAACTCATCTCTGGGCGATTCTTTGTTTGAAATTTCCACTTGTAAGCTGAAGCCATGAGTGCACAAGTAGTAAAGTAATCATAATACAAGAATGCAAGTGATAAATTAATAAAGCGAGGAGTGGCGAAAGCAGCATGTGTTTCAGACTTCCTTCATGAAGTTTTAAAAATAATAAATTTCAATAAAATCTAATTACACTTGAGTCTTTTGTGACATTTAAATTTTAAATCTATCGTGTGTAACATAGAGAACCAAGTATATTAAAACCGTTTTACCTTCCAAACATTTGACCGTACCCACCCATTAAAGAGGGACTCACTAAGCTCTGAGCTGCAGCAGCTAATTACTCTGCCGACAATTTCCCCAGATCTTGCTAAACAAGATCCAAAACGAAAATAACAAAAACACCGACAAGAAGCAGATGTTCTGCTGCTGAAGTTGAGAGGATTCACCTCCCATAAGAAGCACAATTGGAAGATGACTCAGCGCGAGACACTTGCTTTAAGCCAAAGTTTCAAATTGGACATGATTACATGTAATTACGGAGGAGAGGCTGCTCTCAGAACAATGCATCTTCAGCTTGAGACAAAAAAAATCGTATGGAGTGCCCATTTAGCTGTAAGGAGTCTTCTTGTTGACTTTGGGGTAACGTCTCCAGAGAAATGTAAATGGCTGGTTTTGCTGGGCGAGCGTGGCAGGTATTACTTTGCATCACTGCTGCCGTCAGAACCGTATTGTGCTAAAGTTAATTAAATGGGAGAAAAAGCAAAGGAATCAGTGAAGAAAAGCGGTGGAAAAATTTTTTTTAAAAACATTTTAATCGTCAAACTGACTGTACATTCATTCAGATCGAAATTCACAGGAGAGTTTTTAAAAAGAGCGGGATCACTTGTAGAAGACGAGGGAAGAAGTCATGATGATGTATCCTGGCGGCTGCGCTGGGTTTGGATCCCGTCCGTTGAACAAGCCAAAGTAGACGACAGTGTTGGATTCAGACCTGCTCATGTTGAGCTGTCGGGACAGGAAGAGAGCCGC